TTCTTTTTGACCTAAATTATTAAGGAAATTTGACTGGTTGTCTTAAAGCGTGGCATTATCACAAGGATGCTTTTGTGTAAAATTGGACACTATTGAATTAATTATTTTACATATGCATTTGAATAACCAATTAATGAAAAGTGTATGTAACTGGAAATACTAAATTTTGTTAAAATTTTTAATAATTTCTTAGAGTTTAATTTTTGAAAGAAGTTGATTCCACAATCGGTTAATTCTGAAACATCTGAGGATGAATCATCTTAACGCATTTCTATTTTATCTTTCCTTTGGAGCTCAGGGACTGAGGCAGTGGACCTTATCTGAGCCGCTCCAGTGACCCTGAGCCTGGCTGAAACAAAAAAAGGAAACAAAAAAGAGGCAACTTTTCATCTACATCACAAGCTGCAGAAAAGACATTTAATTTATAATTGTGTGAGCAAAAGGTGGCATACACTTTATTTTCTTAATTTACTTTGTGTTTTACTCTAGCAGTTCTGCTTCCTGTGGTCTGACGGGGACCGTGGGGGCCGGGTTTTGCGGGTTCAGGGCCGTGCGAGGAGGTGAGGAGAAAGGCCTCTGGCTTCGGCATCAGGCATCCGCTGTTCTTAGCCATGCTGACTTGGACATTTGCACTTTCAACACATATGAATTGCGCCATCTTCTGCTGGACTGCCGTTTGAGGGCAAAGACCTGTTGGACGATTCTTACAGCTTCTACAGAGGTCAGTGAGGTTGGATTGATTTTTCCTGTTGTCACCTGAAGGCGGATTGCAGCTTACAGGAACTCGCATTGGATGTTTGACTGTGATCTCTGAGGAAACACCTGGCTAAAGGACGAGACCCAGGCGTGGTTTCTGAGGGTCTCCTATGGCAGAAAAGACCAATGGCTTCTGCCCGATGTGAGACGGAGGTTTGAAAACAATTCATCTGCTGTATCTCTCAGTCTCTCCCACACGCTCTGTCAAGGGGGGCCACACACTTTGTCCAGATTTTTCTGCACAGCGGGACTGAATGCTGCCCTGGACAGATTCTGATGGGGCAAATGGAACATCACATGTAAAGTCGGACTGAGACTCGGAGGCGGTCCTTCTTGTCTGTTGCCGTGGTTGGTCCTGGGATTTCCCTCAGTCTACAGGTTGGAGACAAAATGGCTGCCAACAAAACTTTGTAGCTCTTAATAGTTTTTCTAGAATTTTCGAATTGTGTGATGCCACTTTTTCTCACCTTAGTTTATTTACAGCGCATTCATGGTCTACTGCCTTTGTATTCTGACCTCTGCTATTTGATCCCCAGGATAATTTTAACGGTACAAGTGAAGGCTCGATGCAGCAGGGTGCTAGAACTCTGCAGTTTACAGAAATATTTTGTTTGCCTGAATGATTATAACTCTGATTGTCCAACATCTGCCTAATGTGTTTCTCTCCTCCAACATGACAACAATTGAAAACGGATAAAAGTACGGTAAAACTTGTTAATTTCCTGATTTACAAAAGCACAACCAACCACGCTCGGTCTAAGCTCTAGTTGCCTCAAATTACAGTGGCTACAAATATAAGGACTATTATTTCAAGTTATGATTTAAGTTTATTTGGAATCCATTTCAAATCTTAGGAAAATCTACTCTTCGGAAAATTACTGAACAAAATTATGGGTTTACTGCACATATTTTCAATCAACTATTCAATTCTTTCACTGAGGTGTAAACACCGTGTTTTAATTACATCCAACTGTTATAACTAGCAATGAAAGAAAATTTGGGTTAACTGATTTGCGTGGGTTCCTTAGGAGTTTCTGTACCGAAAAACTATACAGTGTTTCGATACAGAAACAGGGGGAGATGCATGGAATTACTCTATTCAAGCAAATTGTGAGTTAATCTATTAAGAAAATTTTTCAGTTTTGGGCTTCAGCAAAACATAAAAGAGGTTAAATCAAAATTCACAAATCTTTAACTATTCAAGTGAGTTTCTAAAGTAATACTGAATATTCTGAATTGAATACATTAAAATTAACAATGATGTCATGTGTCAAATAGATTTTTACAAAATGGCTTTTTAAAATATGGAAGGGATCGTTTGATTGCTGCATCTCTCTTGCTATAATTTGAAATAATAGGTGGTTTAACCAAGTCATGCAGAAAGGTCTAACCTGAGCATTTATATAATTTAATAAATCTAGTTGTATCAAATTTCTCCCCAAAACTGCCAAAAACATTGATAAATAGGATAAACACTACAAAAGAGGGTAATTCAGTTAAGTAAACATTCTATAGAAGTGTTTCAAAAGAACCATTTATTCAAAGGTTAAAATTGTTGAACTTTTGGGATTTAAAACCATGTTGAGAATCAAATAAGTCAGTTAAATATGTAGTGACAGGGTTAGCTTTATTCTTGTAAAAAAAAAAAGCAGGCTAATTATTATATGAGATTTTAAAATGAGAAGAAAATATGAGGATTCAAATTAAATTGGTCTAAATTGGGATTTACAGATGAGCAATTATGAAACTGCTTAAAGCGGGTCAAAAAAGATTGACAGAATAAAAAAGAATCTAGTCCTATGTGTAATTGTTGATTCAAGGTAATAATGCCTAAACATTTCTCATAATCATAATTTATAGTTTTTGGTCTGAGACAAAATAGGGTTGTCTTTTATTACATGAATGGAACATATTACAAGGGATCTTAATTTAACATGGATCATTAACTTTTCACACTATTGATGATATTTTACAAGCCTTTAGTATAGCGGGTTACTTCTTGTTAAATGAGGACTATTTGATTGAATCTCATTAAAATAACAAAAGCAAAAGATTCATATATGGTTTAAGATTTCTGGTAAAGTTTCTATTAGGGATAATTCATATATACATTTCAAATGATATTTCTTTGATAAAACATGACTGTGGGCAGTTTTGTACATTTATTTCATAATCTGATCCTTTACTTGATTTTTTGTTTGGTTTCTGATTTTGTCTGATCCTATGAATATGCCAACACTTAAAACAAGCAAAGTTATTTTTGAAGGTTGAAATGTGGTACTTAATTTAAACATTTCTTTAACTATTATTAAGAGGAGAACTGGAATAACAAATGTTACTGATATATTGATGCTCTATTGGCTTAGTATGAAAAAAAGAAAAAAAAAAAAAAAAAAAACGGCAACTTGATCTTCAGCTTCAAGGAGAAGCCTTTAAATAAAAAAAAGAACATTATGTTTACTAATCAGATGATGCAGAATCTTAAAGAACCTTCCTTGCTCTCCTCATCACCTGTGGATGCTGCTGTTCCCTGCCTGAGGTCCTTGTCTGTTCAGTGCATCACTTCCAACATAGAGAAGGGCAGCGGTACCGATAGAACCCCACCTGCCTATTAGATGGTTTCCCAGAACCGAAAGACAACCGTGGACCTCCAGCTTTCTGTAGTATAAGGGCAGTACTAGTATCTAGTGACAAAACAACATTTTTTCATTCACTTTAATGTTCTTTATATAATCCATTGATTTCACTTTTGTTGTGTTTTTTCTGTTGCAGAATGAAGTCCAATCCTTTCTGGGTGTGCCGGAGGGTGAGACTGTGGGCGCCTTCCACGATTGGTGGACCGAGTTAAAGCTGAAACGCCACACTGAAGCCTCGCGGGCCTGTCGTGGTTTCCTATCGAGCTGCGCCAGCTCTACATCTGGACACACGCAGAAACTGATTTGACGTAGACAGGTCTTGCTATAGAGAGACTGATATAATTAGATTTTATTACTATTATTGCATTTTACTTAGAAAGCAGTTTTACTTGTTTCCTCATCATAGTTTATTCATACCAGTATATTTTGAATGTGCTACCCTTGATCCTGATTTATTGCATTGGTTTGCTGTTTTATGAATGTGTTCATTATATGTTCTGTGCCTTTCAATACTAATACTTCTAAGCTTTTCTTACCATTTAATTTCGTTTAACATTGCATCCTTTCTGTAGTTCATTAACTTTTAATTATTACATAGAAATTTCAATAAGTTTGGTTTATTATCTTACTAACAAATTGTTTTACGCATTACTCATTATTGCTTCATTGACTTTAAAGGATAGTACCTCAACATTTCTAATTTTACTTTAAGTTTTAAGTAATATCTACCTTTTATTCATTTTACATTTTCTTAAATTTCATTCGTGTTTGGTTTCTTAACTTTTGAAACATATTAATCTAACATTTTATTCAGCTAACAATATGTTGACTTTTTGCATATTACCTAACATTTTATGGATTTCACAGTTTATTAACATTTATTCATTTACATTTTATTCATTTTAAAATATTAACCTAACACTTTATTCGTTTTTGCATTTTATTAAGTTTGAAATATCATCCTAACATTCTGTTCAATTTACATTTTAGTGAAATTATATTCAACTTAGTGAATATAATTTTAATACTTTTTTACTAAGATGAAAATTATATCCTCCTAACACTTCACCCATTTTATATTTTCATAAAATTTAACATTTATTCTTTTTAACTTTTTTAACTAACAAAAATTTCAGACTTTGTTCTTTTATAGTTCATTACCCTTCCGTGGCATGGCGTTGACCTGAGGTAACAAAAAGAAATAATAAATAAATAACAAGCAACATAAAGGTAATAATTATAGTATTTGGTTCCAGAAAGTGTCATGGTCCGACTTTATGATTGATGTGTAATTACAGATGACGAAGCTCTCACAAATCTGCAGGAAAATATTTTCTTCCACTAAAAACAAAAAAAGTCATGCCATGGACGGTTGAATTTCTTTTTCTAATTTTAACCCTAACATTCTTTAAAATTTTATTTCCTTACGTGTTCTTTATTAGATTGTAAGAGGGACATTGTGGTTTCGATCCACCGCCTAAGAGGCATAGGGGTGCCCTGTCCGTTTTTACCCCCAAAATTGAAATGAAATGAAATGACATGAATGAAAGACAACATCAATGACTGAAATGATGACATGTATGTCAACATTTGTAAAAGCCTCGGGGAATGTTTTCCGGAGGGCACAGTGTCTACTCTAGGGTTTGTCTTCTCCTTTTTGGGCTCTTTTAGAGCCCAACAGGGGGAATGTTGAGATGCTTTACCAAGGCCGAGAAAGAGTCACACGCTGTTAGACAAAGGGCCCATAGTAAAGAGTTACATTTTTGATTCTGTTAGACACTAAGGCTCATTCCTCAGAGAAACAGAAACTTATCAGGGACACAGAGACATGGTGTGATTTCAGGGAGTGTCCATATAATCAGCTACCCTCCTCTTTCTCCTCAGACGCTGCACAGACTTGTGTAGAAGCTCTTCTCGGATGTAATGGTAAAGCGTCTCCTTTCAGCGCTGAAAGTTAATAAAATAAGTAAAGTCTGAATGCTTTTCTTGGGTGATTTTATGCTCTGTGTGTCAATACAAATTATGATTCATCGATTGGGATTTCCATTCCCAATAAAACTCATGTAAGGAAAGGGAAAAATTAAATATATATTTATGCTTTTATTTCTTATCAAAATATGTATTTATGCTTTTAATTATCAAAATATACATTTTATTTCTTATGTCAGATATATATTTCTTTTATGTATATATTTTATTTCTTATGTCGGTTTTGGTCCTCCATACACTTTGAACCCACATCACGGCAAACAAACGGTCGTTTACATGCAGTACTTTGCGGTCTACTAGAGTGCGCCCGCGGAACACCAGTGGTCCGGGGACCACAGTTTGAAAAAGACTGTTTTACATAATATCGAAAGCAAATGATAATGTGGTCTCTGCAGCTCCAGTTATTTAGCCATCAAGATGCTATTAAAGCCAATTAATGTGAATTGAAGCACTACGTTCAGATACTTTGAAGTGGATCATAAGAAATAATTTGCAGTAACATTCAAGGCACTAATGTCTATGAACTGTTGCACTTACCTGTTGGTGTAATAATCCACTTACACCGTCCAAGGCAGTGTCTCTGTCCTCCAAATTAAACAGTGTCTGTAAGCTTAATGTCCTTCCTTCTCTGCAACTCTCCTCCTCCTCTTCACCCACTAATCCTTGGATATACTCACAGCCCTCCCTTGACCCAGGCCAGCCCCAGAGCACTATGTTATATCATCTGCTCTACATTTCAATAGGATGGAGAAATAACCGCTGATTGTTAGCTTAGCAGCTAA